TGCCCCCCCCTCCTCTCCCCGGCCCTGCCCGCAGGGCCTCTCCGCCGTGGAGCACCTGCGGTGGGAGATGCAGGCCCGGGCCGCCCCTATGGCGGCCCAGGGCCGCGCCTGGCACGGGCGGCCGCGACGGGTCCGCCGGGGCCCTGCCCCGGTCGCTTGTCGGCGGGCCAGCCGGGATCGGGCGCGCAGAGGGGCGGGGGTCTCGGCACGAGCGAAATTCGGGGGCGGAGAAGAGGGGGGTAATGACTAGTTCACGGGCGAAGAACGGTATAAAATAAACTTTTTCGCCGTCGGGGACACCTGCCCCTGGGCGGCTGGAAAGTTTATACCCTTACGGTGGCACCGTAGGGGTATAACCTTTCCAGCCGCCCAGGGGCAGGTATAACCTTTCCAGCCGCCCAGGGGCAGGTGTCCCCGACGGCGAAAAAGTTTATTTTATACCGTTCTTCGCCCGTTAAAGTAGGGGGGGGATATCATGGCGGGGGCCATGATATTGCCCCAGATGTCATGGCGCATCTTCTTACTTCATGACGTCCCTGGCCCCCCCGCTGGGCCGCGCACATGCCGCCGGTCATGATTTGCACCCCCCCCTCTTGGACACCCCCCTCTTGGCCGCTCCCGAGAAATGGGTACGGAAAGAATGGGTACAGTGCCCAACAACAGTTCCTGTTCATGTTGGACAGGGCTCGCTGTCCGCGCCGCCGCGGCCCGTGCCCATTCATAAGACAGAGGGCCGTCTGCCCAACAGCGGCCTCTGCTGGTTTGGGGCAGCAGTTGTTGTCTGGCACTGTACCCACCTTTTCCGTACCCATCTCGGGCGTCCAAAGGGTCAGGGACAACGACAAGGGGAGATAGGCTCAGGGGGGAGGGGCGCATCGACCCGGGGCCCGAGGGGCAGTGTTCTGAAGGTAGGGAAGGGTATGGTATGAATGGGTGTGGTGCTAATGTTGTGTAGAGGCGCTTATGGTCAGCTGGCTGCGCGGGGCAGCGGCTCGCTGACTTTTGGGTGGTAAGCCCTCCTTTGTCTGTCGCGGTGTCATGGCTCCAGCCGTGGCGTGAGCCTGCTGCAAAGAGAACCCTAGAGGCCCCCAGGCTCCGGCAAAGGAACAACCAAAACATGCTATGCAGAGGCGCATATGGCGATGCCATGCATCGCAGATAGCACCGCCATGTCCACGAGTGGCACCACACCCCTCGATGCCACACCCCTCTCCGACCTGCAAAATTGCTCGGGGGCGAGGAGGAGGGGGAGGAGGAGGAGAAGGAGGAGGAGGAGGAGGAGGAGCGGAGAGGAGAGAGAAGGAGGAGGGAGGAGAGAAGGAGGATGAGAGTGAGGAGGAGGAGGAGGAGGAGGAGAGGAGGAGGAGAGGAGGAGGAGGAGAGAGAGAGGAGGATGGAGCATGATAGGAGGAGGAGGCGAGGAGAGGAGGGGGGATGGGCTTTCTCGGGAGCGAGGCCCCAGGCTCTCTTCGGGCGCCCTCGGTGGCACCCGGCGGCCTTCCCCGGCCTCGGCGTGCGCTCCGGCGGCGGCGCCCCGCCGCGAGCGCCCCCCGGGGGCTCCCGGAGCGTCCCAAAACGGCCGCTGGAGAGCCGAGTGGCCCGGCGCCACGGGGCTCTTCACCTCATCCCGAGAAAGCCCCCCCCTCCTCCTCCTCCTCCTCCTCCTCCTCCTCCTCCTCCTCCCGCACCCCACCTCCGCCTCCTCCTCCTCCTCCTCCTCTCCTCCTTCGTCCTCCTCCCCTCCTCCTCCTCCTCCTCCTCCTCCTGCTTCCTCCTCCTCCTCCTCCTCCTCCTCCTCCTCCTCCTCCTCCTCCTCCTCCTCCTCCCTCCCCTCCCCCCCCCTCCTCCTCCATCCTCCTCCGCCTCCTCCTCCACCTCCTGCTCCTCCTCCTCCTCCTCTCCTCCTCCTCCTCCTCTCCTCCTCCTCCTTCCTCCCCAACCTCCTCCTTCTCCTTCTCCTTCTCCTTCTCCGTCTCCTCCTCCTCCTCCTCCTCCTCCTCCTCCTCCTCCTCCTCCTCCTCCTCCTCTCGCCCGAGAGGGGGTTGGGCTCAGGGCGGGTTACCAGCCTCGAACTTATCCTTATCCCTAAGATTGGCACGCCAAAAGGCGATGACAATCTTAGGGATCCGCCCTCGAAAAATGAGGGAACCCCTAAGACTGGCATCGTAATGAGGAGATGCCCAGCATAGGGATAGGGATATGTTCCAGGCTGGTAAACGGGGCAGCACGAGAATGGGTTGGGCTCGGGAGGGGGGGGGGCGCATCGACCCCCAATCGCCCATTCATCGCCGATGGGGGCCCGACAGCCCGCCCCGCCCAGGAACGTGCGGATTCGCCATGTGGGGTCTACCGCCGATCCACCGGCGAGGTATCGTCAATGCCAGCTCGACGTTTCTCCCCCTGAGCTGTTCCCCCTTGCGGTGGGGGTGTTGGTTCAGGAATGTGCCCAGGAGGCTGCAGACCCTGGGGGCCTCCTGATCTGATGAGGACGGCGGTGATATCCATGGCCGACCCACGATTGGTGTTCCACCAGCTTCCAGGCCCTGGATTTCTTATCCACTGGTTCCTTCTCCAATGCCCTCACGGTATCGAGGCCCCTCGGGTGCGAAGCAGTGTTTCGCAGCTCCCGGCAGCCAGAGGCTTGCTTCGGGCCCGCGGGGCGTTCGGAGGCCGACACCGGGACGGAAAAGCCGGTCAGGATGTCGGGCGGGTGGTAAGAGGAGGAGGAGGAGGAGGAGGAGGAGGAGGAGGAGGAGGAGGAGGAGGAGGAGGAGGAGGAGGAGGAGGAGGAGGTGGGTGACCCACGTTAATGGTGAAGACAAGGGCCCGAAAGGGGCCCGTCAGGCCCCTTTCCGACACCAGCTGGCTCCGAAAGGGGCCCCAAAGGGCTCCTTTAGGGTCCTTTTCTTCACCTCCCATGTATCAAGGGCAAAAAAAAACGCCCCTACCCTGGTTTGCGAGGCGCTGTGCGCTGAAACTCCTGTTGCCTGACAGGGTAAACCCTGCGTGATGTGCCGCGTCCTGGCGGCTCTAGGCCGTGGGGCTTCCCAGGAGGTTTGCAGACCACGCACTTGTAACCCAGGGTAGGGTCGTTTTTTCATCCCTCAAACAATGTAGGCATGAAGGGCCCGAAAGGGGCCCTTCAGGCCCCTTTCGGGCACCAGCTGGCACCGAGAGGGGCCCTAAGGGCTTCTTTAGGGTCCTTTTCTTCACGAGGAGGAGGAGGAGGAGGAGGAGGAGCCCCCATGTAGGCCACCCCCCATTACCACCCGCCCGAGGGTGGGCCGCGAGAGCATGCCCGGGGACGGAGCTTGCGCGGCTCGCGGGGTGGGCTGCGAGGCTCGAGCTTTGGAGCGTTGTTTGACCCGCTCCTGAGCCGCCGAGAGCCTCCAGGGGCCTGTGTCGGCCACGCGCAGAGGGGGCGTAGAGGGGAGAGGGGAAGGCTTCTTAAAATCAGGGCGTGACTTACCTACCCGCCAAGTCATACCACGCATGATGGCAAAACCAAGTCATACCACGCGCCTCCTCCTCAAGCGACCTGACCAGTACAGGCCGTAGTTTGGCATCGCTTGGTATCTCTTGGAAGCGAGGGTGGTCAAAAGCGAGGTAGGTTTGTTTGTCCCCTATTAAAAAGCACTCCTGCTTCTTGGAAGGCCCGGGCCTCGGGCCTCGTCTGCAGACGTGAGGCCCGCGCCTTCTGAGAAGCGGCCTCCTTCAAGGAAGCCTTCCCCCCATCATCCCCTTATCCCCTTGTGCGCGCCGCCAGCTGTGGGGACTGCTGGAGAGCCCTCCAGAGACCTCTGGAGGAGGAGGAGGAGGAGGAGGAGGAGGAGGAGGAGGAGGAGGAGGAGGAGGATCCGCCGATCGATCTGCGCGGCCGACCTGGACAGTCTACGTGTTGTGTCGAGTTTGGCTACGCCTTCAGAGTGAGCCTGACGCGAACCGAACGCAAGATTTCCAAAAGGAAACACGACGGAAGTTTTTTACGATTTTCCGCTTCGGGGCCTTCCCGGGCCTCGGGACCGTCAAAAAACGAGTCAGGGTGAAAAACCGGTCCCGGGGAAGGGGTCGAGACCTCGGAGCGTCGACATAATGAACAAAACATGACGTCGGGGTCTGGGAGCTTCAGTTTGCCGCCCCCCTGGATTCTCGAGATCATAGCAGCGAATACCATCGCGCTGTCCACAGCACGACGTGTATCACGACATGTAGCTCAACGTGCAACACGACGTGTGATGCCGTCTTCTTTTGATAATGCGCTCTGGCCAAGCACAGCGCACGTATCGTAAACAGCACATGACCGTACGTCAGACAGTGGAACAGCAGCACAAATCAACACTACATTAGAGCTGATATTGTATAAGACAAAGCACGATACGGGAATGTAGCAGGACAAGCATCCGCATACCCTACCGAAGGATACATCCATACCCTTCGGGTATGCTCGTAGACCCATGGCTTCGTATTACGCCACCGCACGTCCTACGATCACACCGCACAACGACACATTGCAATAGCAAGTGTTGCCAAACAGTGGCCGTGTCATGTCATAGTACAGCAGAGCTCAGGATGTCGTATATTTGCGCAGCAGTACGCTGCAACACGTGAGCGTAGCTTCGTCAGTTAGACTACTCGCAGGACGTAGTTGATCATCATCGTAGCACCGCGAATGCTGGCATAGCGCAGCACTCTCAATCACGAAATTGAGATCCGCACGAGCACTGCATGCCATACAAAGGGATTGCAGGTCGCTGCCGCTACGCAGCATTCCGAGGCCTGGCTTGGCGTGGCGTGGCACAGCGTTGCACTGCTTAGCGCAGCAACCCATCAACGCCAATTGAATCCTAGAGGGCACATCTCTTGTCGCGGCGCTGGCGAGCGCTCAGCGCGGGGTGGCCTTGGCCAGGATGCGAGGCGGCACATGAAGGAGGAGGAGGAGGAGGAGGAGGAGGAGGAGGAGGAGCAGGAGGAGGAGGAGGAGGAGGAGGAGGAGGAGAAGGCGGGGGAAGGCGAGGGCGGCCGCGGAAAGGGGACCCTGCGGGCAGGCGGGGCGCCCAGAGCAGGCGGCAACGCACGGAGCCCGAGCAGCCCTCGAGGAGCCCCGCGGAGCCTCCCCGGGAGTCTCCGGGCGGCCGGGGTGCGAGGGTGCTGCCCCGGAGCGGCCAAGAGGGGGGGGGATGATCGGGGGCTCCCAAACGGGGTGGTGACCACACCGTGTGGTGAGTCGGTGGGGATTCGCGGTCACCGCACGGTTTTGGGACTTGGGTCGCTCTCCGAGGATGTCTCGGGCGACTGGAGCCTCCAGGGTCCCAAAACCGTGTGGTGACGGACCGTGCGGTGAGGTCTTTGCTGATTTCGAGGTCACCGCCGGGTCTGTCACCACACGGTTTTGGGACACCCAAGATGACTAGGGGGGAGTATGTCATGGCGCGGGGGCCATGATCTCTCCCCAGATTTCAGGGCGCCTCCTCTGATTTCAATGCGTCCCTGGCCCCCCCCCTCCCTGGGCCGCGCGCATGCAGCCGGCCATGATTTGCGCCCCCCACCCCCCCCTTTGGACACCCCCCTCTTGGCCGCCCCCGAAGGGTGCGGCGGGCCACGCAAGCTCCCAGGCGAGCTCTCTCGGAGGAGTCTTAGCTTTGTTCTCCCTTCCTGTCCGCCTCCTCCTCCTCCTCCTCCTCCTCCTCCTCCTCCTCCTCCTCCTCCTCCTCCTCCTCTCGCTCTTCTTAGCCAGCGAAGGTTCTCTGACTGAAAACCTGCACACCAGGGGAATTATTAATCGTATTTTCCTGCGTGTGCTCGTTGCCGACATTCATTTTCCGACATGCTCAGCGCACGGTCTGCCCTCTAGGGGACCGCTCCGGTTACCGGAGCTGGCACGCAGACTTCCGTTCCGTTCCGTTCCTGTCCGCCTCCTCCGCCGCCCCTTGACACCCAGGGGCAACCGTTCCGTCGCCTGAAGGCCCAGCCTGAGGCACGTTCCTGGCTAGATCAGGCTCGCCGCTCCCGAGTCGCATGGCAGTGCGCAGTGTACCCATCGGTCGCTGAAAGCAGGCATTGCTGGAGTCCCAGATCCCAGTCCCAGGAATGAAGCTACATTCGTCGAAATTTCAAGTCATTGGCGCTGGGAAGGAATACTCGCTGCGGACGCCTGGCGGCGAGCGCATTCCCACGGCCGACCTCATTAACTACCAGGGCGCAAGCATCTGGGCCGATGGGCGGCTCGAACACGAGCTCGCCAGAAAAATTGGTCACGCATGGAGCGATTTCAATGCGTTGTCGTTTCAATGCATTGTCGATGTTCTGGAAGAGGACGACGTTACTGGTGGCTCGTAAGCTTCAAGTGTTCCATTATGTCATCATCTGCCAGCTTTTCTACGGGCTCAGTTCGGCATGGCTCAACGTCGCAGAGACGAGGCACTTGAACGGATTATATTGCCGTCGCTTGCGGAATATTCTCCGCATTCAACCGTCCTTATATATCGCGGGCGTCGAAAAAGACCGTATTGCGGAGGGCATCGTGCAATCCAGAGCACCACCAACCCCTTCGCGAACAACTTCTTCTGTACGGAAGAGTCGCGAGGGCCCCGGAGGGTGACCCCATGTAGCCCCTCGCATTCATCCCCGAATCGTCGAGGCCAGCAGTGCAGAGGTATGTTCGAGTGGTGGGCAGGCCTCGGAGAATGGACAACCATGCTGCAGAAAGAGGCCGCTCGGATGCTTGTAAACAACACTATGAACAACACATCCGAGTGGAATTTTGCCGAAGGTAAACATTGCATGCGTCCACGCGCCCTGGCGTAAGACTGAAACGTAGTAGTAGTAGTAGTAGTAGTAGTAGTAGTAGTAGTAGTAGTAGTAGTAGTAGTAGTAGTAGGAGTAGTAGTAGGAGTAGTAGTAGTAGTAGTAGTAGTAGTAGTAGTAGTAGTAGTAGTCGTAGTCGTAGTCGTAGTCGTAGTCGTAGTCGTAGTCGTAGACGTAGTCGTAGTCGTAGTCGTTGTCGTAGTCGTAGTCGTAGTCGTAGTCGTAGTCGTAGTCGTAGTCGTAGTCGTAGTCGTAGTCGTAGTCGTAGTCGTAGTCGTAGTCGTAGTCGTAGTCGTAGTCGTAGTAGTAATAGTAGTAGTGGTAGTAGTAGTAGTAGTAGTAGTAGTAGTAGTAGTAGGAGTAGTAGTAGTAGCAGTAGCTAAGCGCCTTCCTACTTCAATGATCGAGTGGCTTCACCTTTCCCGTCCTCTTGAGGGGTGGACGGAACCCAATCTACCTTCAATGGTTTCCTACTTCGTGTTTCTACCTAATCCTTCCGACCGATGGGTACATCATTCCAGACATCGGATGAAGTTTGTGGTGATTGTCTGTCCGCATCCTCTGCTTCCGCCTCAACTTTCTGCACCTTCGGGGGACGAGTACAGACGACGAGCACGACGGCGCATGACTATGCGCGAAGCCATTCGGCGGCGAATTTGACAATATACGACAACGCCCGACGATGGTCGACGAATTCAATGACGTGGGAAGACGAGCGCGACGACGTTCGACGACGAGCGCGGCGACGCCCGACTGGTGCGTACGCGTCCTTCCCTTTCCCTCCATCCCTTCCGCCCAGCCCTTTCCCTCCTGATTTCTGTGCCGATCCAGCGTCTGTTCTGCCGTTTGCTGATTCGTTCCAGTTCGCCCTTGCCGCTGTTTGCCGATACGATGTTGCGGCCGGTTCTCAGCCGATGTTTGCCGATTCGATGTCCTGGTCGACCCGCTCCGACTTATCGGCCCGACGTTGGGGCCACGCGCCGACACCACCGGCTCGCCCGCTTCTACGGACGAGCCGGTGGCGTCCGACGAAGTTCTTCGGGCGCCACCGACCCCAACGAGGGCGCCTGCGAACGCCCATCAAGATCGACCTTCCAGGTCGGGCAGGTTCCAAAGAACCCTCGGACTCCGAACCTCGATCCTGCCCCTGGGCCCCGAGGCCTCGAGCGAGCAGTGCACGCAGCCCGCGCGCACGTCGACGACGGTGACGACGACGGGGGCGGCGCCAGCGCCGGCGACGGCGACGACGACGACGACGGCGACGGCAGCGGCGACGGCAGCGGCGACGACGACGACGACGAAGACTCTAACGACGACGCCGACGACGCCGACGCCGCCGACGACGACGACGCCGGCGACGACGACGGAGACGACGACGACATTGACTTCGACGACGGCGACGACGACGACGGCGTTGGCCTCGACGACGGCGCCGAGGCCTCGAGCGAGCAGTGCAGGATGGCCGTGCGCACGGAGCTCGGGCCCCTGACGGAGGCCCGCCGCCCGCCGCAGCGCCGCCGCGCGCGGGCCGCGGCCGCGCGCCTTCTCCTCCTCTTCCTCCTCCTCCTCCTCCTCGTCCTCCTTTTCCTTTGCCTCCTCCTCCTCGTCCTCCTCCTCTTCCTCCTCCTCCTCCTCCTCCTTTTCCTCCTCCTCGTCCCCCTTTTCCTTTGCCTCCTCCTCCTCCTCGTCCTCCTCCTCTTCCTCCTCCTCCTCCTCCTCCTCCTCCTCTTCCTCCTCTTCCTCCTCCTCGTCCTCCTTTTCCTGTGCCTCCTCCTCCTCATCCTCCGTTGTCGTCTCGTCGTCGCCGTCGCCGGGGAAGTTAGGTCGAGGTTCGACGTTGGAGGCTCGATGGGCGAGGTCCTGAAGGACTTTGGTGGGGCCCCGTGGCGCGCCTTCGTGGGCACGGCCAGGTCCGCTTCGACATCCCGCTCAGAAGGCACCCCAGGACAGGCCCAGGGGTCGGTCCGTGGATGTCGTCGTGGTTGCATGTGTGGTCGTTTTGTGTAGTCTGTGCTCTTAGACTGTACAGCCAGGGCGCTGAAGAAGGAACCTTTTTCGTGTGGGGGGGGCTCGGTGGTCCTTAATGGTTCCACAGCTTCCCTAAGGTTGTCCTTAGGTTCTTGATGTGAAGCCGATACTTAAATTATGGCTAGAATGGGCTTCGTTTCTCATTCTGGGTTCCTTAGAGGTCAACGGCCCGACTGTAGGCTGTGTGGAAACGGGGGGGCTGTGCTGGGGCTCCGCCACTTTGGCCTCGCAGCCGTGGGAGGTGCTGCGGTGGGCCTGTAGGGGGCCCGGCGCGCGTGCGCGCCCGGCGGGCGCGAGACGTCGGCGTCCCATGGTATCGTTCTACTACTACTACTACTACTACTACTACTACTACTACTACTACTACTACTACTACTACTACTACTACTACTACTACTACTACTACTACTACTACTACTACTACTACTACTACTACTACTACTACTACTACTACTACTACTACTACGCCGTTAAGGAATAGTCCCAGGAGGCGCCAGAGCCTGGAGGACTCCTGATCCAATGAGGGCGGCGGTGATATCCCTGGCCGATCCACGATTGGAGTTCCACTGGCTTCCAGGCGCTGGATTCTTTATCCAAGGGTTCCTCATCCAATGCCCCCGCCGCTTTGCGTGACAAGCCCCAGGGTGATAGGATATTTAAAAAAAAAAAAAAAAAAAAAAATGCCCCCGCCGTGCTATGCGCGGGCCTGGCCGGCCAGGCCATCGGCGGGCGCCGTGGGGGAGGGGGGGGCGCCAAGGGGCTGGAGGCCCCCGAACACGCATGGCGGTCGGCGCACCCCGCGTGAAGCCCTCGGGTCCAGCGGGGGGCGTATACGGGTCACGGAGCATGGTTGTCTCCTGATCCTCTCTAGGACACCCCCCCAGACATGATCGCGGTCGTAAGAGAAAATCAGGACGGGAGGTTTTCGACCATGTTCGGCCTCGGGGAGCCTTCGCTGGGCCTCGGGACAGTCAAAAAACGGCTCCGGATGAAAAGCTGGTCCAGGTGAAAGGGTCGGGACTTCCAGGGACCCCGCGTTGAAAAAATCGGGGCGTCGCATGTCTGGGCCTGGAACACAAGCCCAACGCCGCGCGCTGGGGAGGCGCGGCTGGACCCCTATGGGCGCCCGCAGAAAGGGGCCAGGGCCAGGAGTGCGAGCCGGCTGCGCGGGGTGCCCAAAGACGAGCAGATCCACGCGGACACGATGGCTTGCCGCAGGCCAGGTGCACTACGCAGGCGCGACGCGAGGGGCTTCCTGGGACAGGCGGGGTTCGCGCCTAGCTACCGCGCCGCCCAGAAGGTCCCTCCCAGGTACCCCGGAGGCCCTCCCCCGCAGCTGGGGAGGGACCCGCGCGAAGGAGCTCCACTGCATCAGTTTTAACTTATGGCCCCCCTGCGCCCCCATGCCATCGAGAAAAGAACCAGAAGGTGATGGCGCCCATTCGGCAGGCGCGCCTTCAGCAGGTCCATGCACGCTTTCGTCGGGGCTGCCACTGCGCGACGCGGCGCAGGGCGCGTAAATCCCACCGCTGATCACGCGCCAGTTCGGCCAGGCGATGATGGCGCTGCACGCGGGCACGCGCGCTCCTCACCAGCGGACGCACCCCTACTGGCGGGTGCCTATTTGCACAACGTTCGCCCAGAAGTCACTGGACATGAGAAGGAGATATTTGACGAGTGGTGCGAGGGTCAGATAGCGGAGCAAGAATCAGAGCGTCCTGTCGATTCGGATGGACCCGCGGAAGGGCAGGTGGATGCCGATGGGGCGCAGGGCGAAGAGTACGAGGAGTTCCCGAGGGATCTGGGGGCCGGCATGAACGCCGAAGAAGCAGAGGGGCCTCGCGGCTGCGCCGCGAGCCCCTCTGCCCCCGCTCCCCGACGGTCCGAGCCCCAACTGGGGCGACAGACCTGTCGAGACATCCGACACCGAAAACGCCGACGAGGAACGACCTGCTGGCGCCAGGGCTCGCATGTCGCCGCAAGCGACGGCGCCTGCCTCGGAGGGGGGGGGTCGCTCTCTGACGAGGGCGGCGAGCCAGGGGAAGGCAGCGAGTCAGAACAAGGCAGCGAGTCAGAAGAAGTCGGCGAATCAGAGCACTTGGAAGAGGCAGACGAAGTGGAGCAGGGACCAGGAATTGAGGCCGAAGGGGTTGCCGGCCGCGCCAGCGCATCCCTGGCCAACGCCACGCTGCGCCGAGAGCCCGAGGCAGAGCCCGTCTTCCTCGCGCCAGCCCTCGTCGCCCTGGACACACTCGCCAACGAGCTCCCACAAGCATTCGGGCCGAACTACTCTCGGTTCGGGCGCGCGACTTTGGCCCGGCGCCGCGCACATTCAGGGGCATGCATGAGGACCTTCAGACCAGGCAGGTGGGGGCCGCGAGGGATCTCATCGGCGTCAAATTGGCGATGCACAGCGTGGCGCGCGCGCTCTGCCCGGGCGGTCGGGCGGCAGCGTAGGTCATCGCGGGCGCGATCGAGGGCGCGGGCCGAGACGGGGCGCGAGCGCGCTTCCTGCGCGCCTTAGCCGCTCCGCCCGAAGACACCGCTCAAACGCCAGGCGTCGACATGGGAGATGACGAAGACGACGCCGTCGCTAAGCCCCCCAACTGGGACGAGGGCCTCGGGCGCGCGCGGCCGCCCAGCGACCGCGTCGCCAGCGGCCGCGACGTCGAGAAGCCCACAGTCAAGCCGCTGCTGTTTCGCGCCTGCAGAGGCCGTTCGCCCCGGGCAATTGCGCCCGAACGGATCCTCGTCAAGTGCGAACCGTCTGCCAGGCAGTAGCGCGCGGCCATCGTCGCGCCGCTCGACGTCGCTTCGGTGATCCAGTTGATGGATGGGCTGGTCGCGGCCCCGGAGAAGGACCTCAGCGGGGCCCGCCAGCGCGCGCCCCTAAACGCCCATCCCTCGTAGAGAGCCAGGGGGGGGGGCGCCAGCGGGGCGGCGGATCTGGCCCGTCGAGGCATCGAGAGAGGGCGAGGAGAGGGCACCAGGGCCGGCTTAGGCCGAACGGGTGGCGATGGGGATCGCGGCGCACAGGGGTTTGACGCAAGCGCCCGCAACCTGGGGGGCCCGCATGCGCTGTCAGGTTCGTGCATCATGGCGCCCGCGCCCCGACTCTTGGACGCGGCCGCGCCCTGGGTGGCCCCCTCGCCGCGGAGCTCCGTCCAGACCAGCGCGTCTTGCATCGGATCTTTCGAGCCGCCGTTGCAGGAGTCCCGGCCCCGACAGTCGCGTGGACCCTGGTCAGACCAGCAGCTCCACGGCGTGAAAACAGAGCCGAAGCCGGGGTCAGGCTGCATCGATCGGATGAAACCGCGGCACGTGTGCCATCGAATCGGCGGCGACGATGGCGACGCCCTCGCACCAGCGGTGCCGATCGCGAAGCTGTTCCCGCCGCCGCCGCGGGGCCATATTAGCTATCTCTTCTGTTGCGGAGCACGCTGGGGTCGCTCAGGGGCCATTGGCTGCATTGCCGGGCGCCCATACTCGTCGCCCCAGAGACCGAGGCGCCCGATAGGATGACCCCGGCGCAGCACTGGCGCGATGTAGGCGTGCCCAAGTGATTGGAGGAGCAGTCGACCAGGAGTCGTCGTGCCAGAGACCGAGGCGCCCGATGTGATGACCCCGGCGCAGCACTGGCGCGATGTAGGCGTGCCCAAGCGATTGGAGGAGCAGTCGGCCAGGAGTCCGAGGGCCACGCCGCCGGCCCTGCACCGGAGGCCACGAGGGCTGCGCTCGGGGCCGGGCCGCGGAGAGAGGGGTCCATATGGGCCCAGCCGCGGACGAGGAAACCTCCTCCTCCTCCTCCTCCCCCTCCTCCTCCTCCTCCTCCTCCTCCTCCCCCTCCTCCTCCTCCTCCTCCTCCTCCTCCTCCCTCCCCCCTCCTCCTCCTCCCTCCTCCTCCTCCTCCTCCTCCTCCTCCTCCTCCTCCTCCTCCTCCTCCTCCTCCTCCGCCCAGCCCGGATAGCCGGGCAGGACGCATGGGCCCAGCCCGATGTCTTCGGAGCGACGTTCCGCCACCATTAGGCCCTGGCGGGCAAGGCGGCACACGAGAACAGTGGCACGCCCACCTTCGCTTGGCGGCCAACGTCTCGATAGGCGATCTGGCACTGACCGATGAGAACGCGCGCCGGGAGAAGAAGGCGCAACATCTGGGGAAGCCTTGGATTCAGTGCCGGGCGCGCGCCGGCACTCTGGCCACGGGCCAGAACGCAATCGTCCACGCGTGGGTCTGGTGGCCGCGCATCAGCAGGAGGCAAGCTCCTCGCCGGCAAGACTATTCCCTCGGGCCTTCCGCTTGGGCCCACTCGCGACCTCGGGCATGCGAGGCAGATGAACCCTCGAACGGCCGGGGGCAGCGGCTCGCCAACGCCCGCCGCCCTGAGCTGCCCCCGACGCTCGCGGATCCGACGACGGAGATGGAGGAGCATTGGGGCCGCTGGAAGGAATTGACGCCGCGGCGGCTGAGGGAGGAGCGCCGGCATCTGCTGACTGCGTCGACGGCGCCGGGGCCTCGGCAAGCAGGGCAGGGGGCGCCCGTCATCGACCCAGACCCGGGGCCGCCCGCCGACGTCGCGCACCTCCACTGGAGGCAAAGGGCAAGGCGGCGCGAAGCGTCGCGGCAGCCTGGGGCCGCAAACTCGGAAGGCTGTCACGCGTCGCCGAGTTGCGGAGCCGACGCCCAGGGGGCTCCATCCCAGGCCATCGCTGTCGGCGGCAGCGTCATCGAGCCCTGCCCCAGACCCCGCGACGAGGAGGTGCCAATGCACGGATATCCGGATGAGGGCTGCGGAGGAGTAGGAGGAGGAGGATCCGCGCCCTCCGCGGCGCCAGGACTCGCAGAACTCCGCCGGTCGACAAGGAGCTCAGGCTGGGGCCCGCGCAACTGGCGCAACCTGCACAGCAGCTGGGGCCGCGACGATCCGCGAAGCGAAGACTGGCGCTGATGATGAGGGAAAGGCTGAGGACATCTCGGAACTGTGCTCCGAGTGTTCTCTAGACGCGTTGGAGCTGTGCTCCGAGCGTTCTGCTGCGGGCCGCAGTGTGGCGATGGCCTTATGGGCCGATCGCTGGGCTGCGTGCGCCAGCGCGCTCTTGTCTACGTTAGAGTCGCTGGCCTGTTTCGCCTTGTCCCCAGGGGCCGTGTCGGGAGCGTTGTCTCCCCTTCCGCGAGCGCCGTAAACTCTTTCGGCTGCTGGCGCCGCTGGGCTGAAGTGCCTTGGGGAAGGGGTGAAGTCTGAAATCTGGTCTTACGGAAGCGCCGAACTCGGGCTGGCGCGCAACTTGGGGTGTCAGCGAAAGGCCGACGCCCGCCCGCGCGCGGAACCCCCGCGCCGGGCCGGCCGCGGGGGGAGTCATTAGCTACGCTCCCCTCGCGCATTTTTTTGGCCGCGCCGCCATTGCCCTCCAACTGAGCTTTGGCGGCGCCACCTTATTCACATCGATGTTACGTAGGGGTTGGGAGTCCCGCACGCGCGCGCGCCCTCACCCTGCCCGGATTGGGCGCCCCCTGTGATGCCGCGCACACATGCCTCAGCACAACCGCCTAGAGGACGTCCTAGCCATGGTCTCAAGCACGTCTCTTCCGAGATTTAACGTGGGACCACGACGTAGAGATGATTTGCCAGAACGGTCAGACCAAGAGCCGATCAACAGGAAAATGCTTCATGGGAAGGCTCAAGAGAGAGCCCCACGTTGAAAAGGAACCGTCCTCCATATGTCTGTAGTTGTCTTTGCAAGTATGTAATAGGACTTTGCGCGGCGCTGCTGCGAGAACCAGATTTTGAAACGGAGCCGCCCTCAATCCTGATAAGAGCTGCGCGCTTTGATGACAACTGTGCGTGGCGCTGGGCCCAGGGCTCGACGGTTACCAGAAGCCGCTTTCCCTACGCTTACCTGCCGCATGCTTTTAGGCGGATAGTGCGCGCGGCGCTACTGACATTCACAGGAGGGCCCGCCCTCTGCGTGCCGCGCGGGGTGCGCGCGCAACGCCGACTCTTGTTCCCACGGGCTCGCCATCCGGGAGTCCAGGCCGCGAGGCCGCGCCAGCGCAGCAGCGCAGCGCGAAGGGGGTCGAGCTGGAGACCCACGGAAGTTCAGCGCGCGGTCTGAGCTCGCGCGGGTCGTAAGCTCGGCCTCGGTCTTTCGATTCTTGGGGACCTCCGAGGGGCCTTTTTCGGGGGCCTCCGGGAGGGATTTTCGGGAGCCTGTTGGGGCGTCTTGGGGCCCCCTGGGCAGTCTTGGGGCTCTTTGGGCCCGTCTGACGCCTTCGGAAGCCGTTTTGCCGGTCTCTCAGGGCCGTATGCGGGTTATTTTGAGGCGCCTTCGGGCCGTTACGGAGGTCTCTTGGGCGGTCATGGGGCTCTCTGGGGCCTCCTTGAGGGCCTCTTGGGCCATCCTGGTGGCCTCTTGGGCTGCCTTGGAGCCTTCTTCTGAACTTGTTGGGTCGTCTTGGGCTTTCGGAAGCCGGAAAGGGTCAGCCTATCTTTTCGTCGAAAACCTGATGAACGTAAGTGATGTTGGCTCTCGAAGGAATCTCGGCCGTCCTCTTGAAACCCTCTTCGGGCTGACTTGGAGGCGTCGTGGGCCTCCTTGAGGCCATCTTGGGCCATCTCTGGGTTTTCTTGAAGAGTCGGGGGCCTCATTTAGCTGTCTTGAGACCGCCTTGGAGGCCTTTTTGACAGCCTTGGGGCGAGCTTGGCTGACTTGGAGCTGGTTGTTGCTGTGTTTGATTGTCCTGGTGTCTTTTTTGTACACCTTGGGCAGCTTAGACTTCTTTGATGTATCTGCATGTTTTTCACCCCCTTTGGCACAGCCTCTCCTCGGTCAGAGCTTTTCCAAACAGTAGTCATTTATGTTGGTACTTGGCCTGAAACTGGCTCCCGAGAGGGGGGGGGATTCTCGGAGCGCGCTTGCTAGTAGGGGGGGTGGTCGGCCCTGGACAGCATTACATACATCTTACCAGGCAGCAGAGGTGCATTCTGGCACGCCCCGTTATGCACAAGGCACGGTGGCGGATGATTCCGATGGCGACTCCTGATCATCCTTCCCACCTCCTTCCTTCCTTCCTTCGTTCTTGCCTTCATTCCTTCCTTCCTTCCCATCTTCCTCCTCCTCATCATTATTATCATCATCATCATTCTTATCATCATCCTTATCATCATCACCATCATCATCATCATCACCATCATCATCATCATCATCATCATCATCATCATCATCATCATCATCATCATCATCATCCTTATCATCATCATCATCATCATCATCATCATCATCATCATCATCATCATCATCAGCATCATCATCAGCATCATCATCCTCTTTCGTCCTTCCTTCTTTCTGTCCTTCTCCTCCTCCTCATTCTCTTCTTGCCTCCTCCTCCTCCTCGTTCTCCTCCTCGTTCATTGCCGCCGCCGTCTCTCTCTTTCTTTGGTCGTGCCGTGGGCGCCTTGCCGTGGATCCCTCCCAGAACCTCTCTCTGTGGCAGAGCGGGCGCGTGTGCTCGGAGCCGCATGCGGCACACAAAAAAAAACGCCCGCAGCTCTTGCAGACCTCCTCGTCCTGACTCCGCATCCTCATCCCCCGCCCCTCCCCTCCCTCCTCCTCCTCCTCCTCCTCCTCCTCCTCCTCCTCCTCCTCCTCCTCCTCCTCCTCCTCATCCCCCGCCCCTCCCCTTGCGATATACCTCACTCAGGAGGGGAAGAAACACACACGGACACAATGAATCCTCGATCCCCAGGAAAATAGGGGAAAATTGGGAAATGGGGGGAAGACAAACACCCAGAAGATATGGGAAGATATGGGGAATAGTTTTATGTGTGTGTGTTTATTTGTGTGTCCTTGGGCCCCTTCAGACAAGGCAGGACAGCAGAAGGGCCATCCCGCGCTATCTTGCGCTACCTTGCGCCGTCTTGGAGGTCAGCTTGCGCTATCCTGGGCCCTCTTGGCGGTCATCTTGGGCTCTCCGAGGCGCTGTTGGAGCCGTCTTGGGCGAAAAAGTGCCGCTGACCGCTCGCGACCGGCTCCTTCACTCACGCCCCGAGGTACTCTGCGACCACATCGCCTCCGCGGTCAACCAGACGGTGACCGAGGTCATGGTGGGCGCCCGCTCCTCGGCCGTGGGACGATCTTTTGTGTCGTCTCCCCTCGCTCGCCATAGAAGGACCACTAAGCACGAAAGCCATTTGGCGTTCTCCTCCTCCTCCTCCTCCTCCTCCTCCTCCTCCTCCTCCTCCTCCTCCCCCTCCTCATCGTTCTCCTCCTCCTCCCCCTCATCGTTCTCCTCCTCCTCCTCCTCCTCCTCCTCCTCCTCCTCCTCCTCCTCCTCCTCCTCCTCCTCTCCTCCTCCTCCTCCTCCTCCTCCTCCTCCTCCTCCTCTCCTCCTCCTCCTCCTCTCCTCCTCCTCCTCCTCCTCCTCCTCCTCCTCCTCCTCCTCCTCGTCCTCCTCCTCCTCCTCCCCCCCTCCTCCTCCCCCCTCCTCCTCCTCCTCCTCCTCCTCCTCCTCCTCCTCCTCCAGCTGTGCGGCGCGGCGAGCCGGGCGCCCAACACGCCGCCGCCGACAGGCGTGCGCGCTCCGCTGCTCGCAGGAGCAACTGCTCGCGCGGAGGCGCAGCTAGAGCCATTTGGCGTTCTCCTCCTCTCTCTTCCTCGTGATCCATCTCCGAGTCCTCCTTCCTCCTCGTTCTGGCCGAGTCTCCCTGATTTGAGTGGCAAGGCGAGGTGTTTCGCAATGCCAGCTGATGTGTGAGCTGTGGGAGGCGTGCGAGGCGTGTCGAAAAGTTCGTCGCTTTCGCGAGGAAAAACACAAGCACAAGCGTTCGGGGATCCGCGCGGATTTCTTGGATCGGCGCTGGACCTCCTAAAGGTTACGGTCATTCCGTGACTCTGCTGCCCTCCCGAGTCAGCAGCTGCGCCGATCAGCTCGTCTTGGCCTGACGTCTCCCCAGCATCCTCGGTGATGGCCCCATATTCCACCACCACTACCATACGTTAGGTTCGTGTCGTGTCGACCGGCGGCGACCCCGCCGCCGGCGCTCAACGTTGAGTGCCGCCAGCGACTCAGAATCGGTCGATGTTGAACGATCTGTCGTGTCGGAAACCGCCGATCGTTCAAGGTTGAACGATTTGGCCCCGCTCGTCAGCCTCCTAAGGTGGGGCCCTGGCGGGGACATGGCCGCCAGTCGCTCTCTGAGGCGATGGAGATCTGGCCCAAAGACCAGGGGCGAGCACGCCGACGAGTGGGCGCAGCACGCGGCGGGCAAGCGGGGCGCAGCAGTCGCGGGCCACAACGCTCTCAAGGAGGCTCTTGCCTTGTGATCAGGGGGGGCTACCACAGCCCTCAAAACCCAGAAACATTAATATAGCCATAAAGTAAGTCAAAAGTAACTTTGGCAGTGATGACGTAAAGTATGCATAAACTAAGCACCCCAGTAAGCACGCTGTCCACGTAGGCGCGTAACCCTCCCAAGAAGAAACCTCGGTTGATCTCTGGAGTGTTGGGGGGGCAGGCAGGAGTAACACTAGTGGGCCTCTTACTGGCCGCGTGGCCCACATGTCGCCATAGTTTTGATCGCACCTAACACACGGAGGGCTTTACTTGATGATGCGTGCATAAGTGGATGTGTGCCGACGCTGTGTTGCTTAAGTTCGTTCTGCGTACACCCATGTGCGTGAATGTGATGACCCGCTGTGTTTAGTCGCACTCGTTGTTTGTTTTTTGTTTTACATATTTTCTCACTCTCAATTCAACGTCTGTTGAATCGGGCCTGGACATATGTCCAGGCCCCCACGTGAAAGCTGAGCACTCAGCTCAGCGCCTCCTCCGCCTTGAGCTGCAGCGCCAGCACCACCCGCTGCAGCACCAGCGGCGGGAAGCAATCCTTCTCTTTGAGCCCGCTGTTCTGGCGGAACTCCCGAATCTCCGCCTGCACGAAACCCCTCAACTCCTCGAGGCCGCACTGGCCCCTGAACTTGTTCAAGAGGCACCCCAAGGCCTTCACCGTCTTACACTGCCCCATCCGCTTCGCGGTGTCCGCCACCAGCCCGTCATCGACGGGCCGCACCGCCTGGCCGAGGGCATGCTTGTACTTCTTGAGCGCCCCTCGGGCGACACCAGACGCAAGTGAACTCAAGCAACGGACATTCAATGCACGAAAACTGTTTAACCAGAACCCGTCCCCAAACAAACCCACTCCTAAAACAAATGGCTTGGCTCTGAGGCCCTCGTTTAGCCCCCGCCATCCCTAGTCCCCGAGGTCCCGACAGAAATCGGTCAACTGAGCTTTGAATGCCAAAGTGCGTGCATGCACAATGATTGAGTTCACTACGTGCCTGAGCCGCCTCGCCGAGCACCGCAATAGTCGCCTTGATGTCGCACTTGAGGAGCGTCCCCTCGGCGTGCACGAGCAGCTCCTTGAACGTCTTCCCCGTGAAGGTCGAGTACCAATCGCCCTCGAGCTCGTCGCACAGCTCAGCAGGAAGCCCCCTGCCGAGCGTCGCCATGCGCTCGTTGATGGCAACCAGGTTCGTCGTGGCCTTCTCTGAGCCCTTCGCCGTGACCTGGCCGATAAACTCTTTCGCATCTGCACTGACCTTGCTCATCGTCGCGTAGAACTCGGCCTCGCTTTGTCCGAGGGCGGCCAGGGACTCCTGCATCTCCACGAGCGCCTGCATCATGTCGGGCAGCACCTTCATCGACTTCTCGTCGTTGCTCATCGCGTCCACATCTGCATGATCACCGCAGAAGGAGAAGCAGCTCAGCTGAAGGGCGCAGCCAGCCTGGATGACTTTCGCCATCTTCTGCAGCGTCTTCGAGTTCGCAACGGTGGCAATCGAGACCACGCCCGCCGCGAAATCCGAGGCCGTCTTGAGGCTAGAATCTGTGGGAGATGGCACCGACGTCTTCACAAGGTGGGCGGCAACGGTGGCGCATACCTCACATTGCTCGTTGATGATGCTCAAACCCTCGCTCGTGAAATACTCCCCAGGGATCGGAGTAGTACCAGCGATGTCCTTCAGGTTGGCGATGGCTGTCTGTATGATGGGCACACGGGCGTCGTGCGTGGTGATGTTCCTCATGTTGTTCTTGAGACCAGCGCATCCAGAGACCAAGGAGGAAACCTTCGCGGACATGCTGGACGAGGCAAGTTTGTTGGCAGCTTCAGTCCTGAACTCATCGACCCACAAATCCATCGGGAAAACAGGCTGGCCTCCCCGACGACCCTAGACCATTTCGACGTAATCTCCATCTCCTCCTGCGGCAACCTCATGACATACACACGCGTCTCCTTGATCGAACGGGCGATGGTAGTCAGCAGCGCGTCGATCCCCCCCGTGCGGATGGCCTCTTTCACGCCAGCCAGACTTTCCAGTGTACCCATGAGCTTGTCCAAGTCACACTCTGACGGATTGTGCGCCCTGATAACGCCTTCAGCATGTTGGATGGCATTCCTGTGCTGCAGCATCGCTGGTAACTTCTCGATGTACTCGTTCAGCCTACCTGCCCAGTACGTGCTGGCGTCCACTGCGGACGCGATGAGTGTAAGAGGAGACTTGTGCGTCTTCCCGATGGCCGCCTTGAGCTTCTGAACGTAATCCTCGAGGGGTTAACTTTACGAGGGGTCCCATCACCGCGCCCCCCCCACCGACTTACCACAACACCACACCTCCACCCAAAGACGGGGCGGATCATACCCGCGCAACTCCCAAATGCAAAAGCAATGCCCTACCGTGGCAGGAATTCAACGAGCCGATGTGCCCGACCGAAAAACGGATGGGGCCCAAAGCCAACCTTCAAGGTTGCCATCCCGCCCATGCTGGCAAGAAGCAATCGGGGCACGATTCTAACAAACTCGGGGACACAACTTCACGTTGAATTCGCTCCATTTGCCGCGCGGGTCCCAAGGGGTTGCCCACGGAACGATTGCACAGCTGATTCCATAATTGCGCCGAAACCGCAGCTGCACTGCTAGCGCGAGGCAGCCCTATGGAACTAGAAACGCCCCGACCGCAAAGACCGTTGGTTCATTGGGGAGACACGAACGCACTGGGTGGCAGATTGGAGCCACATAGCCCCCAATGGGGCTGGCTTGAACCTGATCGTGCCTGGAAGCGCCCACTGTGAATAGAGCATCTACCAGGTCCACCCAAACCTATTGGAGCACAATGCAACCCAAGGCAACCTTAGTGACGCCTAAGGGAGGCAATGTCGAGCCCAATGTGCCCCTGTAAGAGCCGATGGAGGCAGGGGGGGACAGGCGGACCCCGAGAAAAGCCATTGGGCGCAAGTGGGCTACAGCGGGGCTGGGGGGAAAACGTTGTAGACCAAGGGGGCCCTGCGGATGAGAATGCGAGCCAACGGGTTCGGTTGGTCCCCGATGGAAGCTCCTGGACATCCCAGCGCCGCCACAAGGAATCGCACGGGTGCCCCGCGGGGCCTCGATGGAGAATCCAATTCTAGACGCACCGAGTTCACGAGGCCCCAACAGAGCTCAAGAGACCAGACGAAAGTACATAACAACTGCTTTTCTCATGGGGCCAGGTGCGCCTCTAGAGCCCCGCGCGGCCCCTTGGAGCCCTGTGGGCCCGCTGGGGCCAAGTAGGCGCCGCTGAACTAAAAACTACTGAAGGGGTCGGGGTTGCAAGAGCATCGGTGATCACTGACATGCAGCCCCCGCTGCAGTTGGATACAAACCCTGGCTGTTACCACGAGAGGTAAATGTGCAAACGGCATTGGCACTAAATAATCAACGCCGTGCCTGCCTGGTGCGCAGGCAAGTGTGCCCAACTGGCCTTAGTGGGGCCCGAAGCAACCAACTCGAAACCAATGGGTTCGTATTGGGACTTGGCGCACAACGTCAGCTTCACTTTCAAGCCGAGGCAACGAAACCTCACCTTAGGGCGCCTTAAGTCTCCTCCACGCGGACCCGACGCGCCACTACCCCCTCAGACCCCATCCCTGAACCGCGCACCTCGCCGAGGCAAAGCCAGCGTGGCGACGAGGTCGCACAGCAGGCGGGGAGTTTGAACGTACCTACAGCAGCGCGTGAGTGAAGTACCCATTGACTTCCAAGTCTGTTCGCACTTACCAGGTGGTGCGACTTGCCCATGCTTCAAGAGCATATCAAACGAATACACCCAACATCTGTTACTCGTTGGATTGTCAGCTTCCACGTCTGGGCGCGACCAGTGAGGGGGACGGGATGTCTGAAATAGCCCCGAAGACGGGACTCCATTCAAAACTTCGGCCCAAACACACAACTCATTTTAGTCTAAGACGGCTCGGGGAAACCCAGTGACGGACCAAGCCAACCAAAGACGACCCAAGGCAACCAACGGTAAGTCAAAGCACGGGGCCATGACGTCCAAGACGGCCCAGGTTAACCCCAGGGCGGTCACACGCCTCTCACATTTCGACCTCGCTCTTGACATCCTGCTTGCTCCTCCTCATATTTCCTCCTCCGCCCTCATCCTCATCCGTCGTCCTCTCTCCTTCTCCCTGGCTCCCTACCCTACCCCTTCCTTCTCACTCAGCATCCCTCCTCCTTCTCCCTCCTTCAGCTTCCCTCCCCACCCCTCCTTATTCTACAACCCTCCACCCTCCAATCTTGGACCAAAACCTGATCGTCCGCGGTGGCTCCTTATTGTGGAGCTGAATGTCCACGCCGCCGATCACCCTCAGCGCCATCCACGCGTCCTGGCACTCGGAGAGCGTGGCAGCTGCGAAGGCGTCCAACTCGATGAGGTCGACCAGGATGAACTTCGTGATGGCCTTCTCGACGACGTCCATGAGCTCCTGGGTGCTGTCGAAGCCCTTCTGGATCAAAGGCTGCAAGACTTTCTCGATGAACACGTGCTGGAAGAGGGCGCACTTACCAGGCATGTCCAGCTCGATGGAAACCAGCTTGGGGTACTTCGGGTCGAACGGCGAAATATCTGGCAGCGTTTGTTCGTCCTGGCCCTCAGGGACTGAAGCCCACGGCGAAACCACATCGAGCAATGTCTCGACCTGCTTGCGATCCTCCAGCACTTTCAGGTACGACGCCAACAGCTTCTCCTTCGCAGCCAGAGTCCATGTAATGTTCTGCTGAGCCACCAGCTGGTCGATGGTCCTCAAAAGCTCGTCCCTTTCGCGCGTCAGGATCTTGTCTGGGGTCATGCTCTTCGCGAGCTGCACAACGTTCAAGAAGTTTTTCAGGATACGGCCCTCGGACATCTGCGAATGGTCGGGGTTCCTGCATAACCTGTCCGCCGCCTTCGCCGCTGCTGAAATCGTACGGCCATCAGTAGTACCACTCAGGACTGCATTGATAGGGATC